AGTGGGATAGGTTTTCTAGATCCCTGGGTCTAAAGGATAGAAATAGGCATTCTGGGAGTAGAGGATGATACATAGAGGTAGAAAGATAGATCTGAAGAGTTTCCTGAGTCCTAGGATAATAAACTAAGCCTCCTAAACATTTTTTTAAATAAAGATAATGATTTAAGCCTTTTCTAAAGGGGCAGAATGGTGTAATCCAGAAATAATAATGCTTACTATTTTTGAGCACTTAATAATTGCCAGCTATTGAATATGTATTAGTTGGCTCTTTTAATCCCAGTAGTCCTAAGAGGTTGGTTGAATGTTTGCCTAATGTTACAACATTAGTAGGTAAAAGGCAGGTTTTCAACCCAGGTCTAATTCTGAAATGTATGCTTTTAGCTACTAAATCATGAGGAGAATAGAAGTTAAAAATGTTCTTGAAGAGTGATTTATGCATACCTTTTCTACCTGCTGCCTCTCATTTTCCCATTCTTAAATAATTTTTTTAAAGATTTATTTTATTTATGCATACAAGAACTGGGGTCAGGCCAGAGGTATGGGGGCTAAGAGGATTCACCAGAGAGAGTGGGGAGCAGAACAGGCAGATCAACTGAAATACATTGCTGAGGGGAGCAGCAGGCGAGACAGGAGAGGTCTGCTGTGCCAAGTGGGTTGCTCCCTGGATGGCTGGGGATCAGTGGCTGTCAATTGCTTGATAATGCTCTTTAACCCCTATACCGCCAGGAAGGCCCCCCTAAATCATTTTATTTTTATAGATTTATTATATTTTATACAAGAAATGGGGTGCAGGTCAGAGGCGTGGGAGGGTGAGAGAATTCACCAGACACAGAGTGGGGAACAGAACAGGCAGACATTGCTGAGGGGAGCAGCGGGTGAGACAAGAGAGGTCTGCTGTGCCATGTGGGTTTTTCCCTGGCCGGCTGGGAATCAAACTCGTGCTGCAGAGGCAGCAGACAGTGCTCAACACGCTGCATCACTTGGGAGGCCCCCCTTAAATAATTTTAACTGATTAACCGAAACCTCAAACCATTCTCTGTTGTTAAAAAACTGAGGAATCACCTTGAACTTGTTAAAACTGCAAACTCAAGGGTGAGGAGTGAAATACCTCCCTTCCCCATTGTGATTCTGCATGTCTGGGATTTGGCCCAGTAACCTGCATTTTGTTGAAATAAACATGCTGACGTGATTCCATCCATATGATCAGAGGATGAGATGTATTGCCTTAAATGGAGGTAGTGTTAGGATGGAATAATACAATCCCGTATTTTTTTAAAGACTATGGAGCTGTAAATAGATTTTGCATAGAACATAATATAGAAATTAGATCTGTGGTACCTATTTAGTATAACTCCTCTGAGAATGTCAGTGCTAACAAACAGTGTGATTCATACTTGACTCTGTTTATGTTTCATTTTATCCAAAGTATGTCTTCATTTTTTCAGAGAAACATACTCTGAAATGTTCCTATTATTTTCTTTTCTTAAAAATGACCTTTTATCCCAGGGAGAAGTAACTTATCATAGTGTTTCTCAGTTTGCCATATTCCTGCCTGTTAAAGGGATCCTTACTCCCATCTCTGATAACAGCTCACTCCAACCATGTTTCTCTGCAGAATTAGGGTCTTATCAGAATCTGGGGAGGAGAGGAGGAGACATAGTAAAACTTTATAAAATTACTCTCTTAAGTGTAAGACTTCTGAGGATGCCCCACCCTAATTTCTGAGCTACTGTGGCTTACCTGAACACTAAAGAGTAGAAGTAGGAGGAAGAGATTATAGTATCTTATTTAATATGTGGAGGCTCGATAGAAAAAGTCTGCCTGTACCTAGGGATTACACATAATATTGAGTTCTGTTTCCATCTTTTCTTTCCTTCCTTCAAAACTGTGTTTCCTCCCAATACCTCAAAGGCATGTACTATATCTTCTTTTACTTTCAGTTATTGTTATTGCTGTTTTATGTGTGGAAGTATTTATGTCTTCCCCCACTCCTTCTTAATACCATAGTCCTTTTCATGTAGGTAGACCGGAAAAGAGGGATTCGCTTTTCTTCTGTGACAGTTGGTTTTCGGAGGATAGGAGTCATTATAGAAAAGTTATCTTTTTGGCTCAGAGAATAAAATTGATTCATACTCAATTAATATTGAATAAACATTTTTTTATGAATTAAAATCAGTTATAAGGGGCTGAGGTCTTATTTTACTCTTTTAGAAGTTAATAATTAGCTTGCTGGCAGAATATCAGAGACTCATATCTGAGACAAAAAACTATTATTCATAGCCTAATTTAGATATGACTCAGCAAGCAGCATAGGCATGGCTTTGCATTAGTTCCTCTGTTCTCCCTTCCCCAAGTCCCGTGGAAGTGACCTGAATGGGTCAAGATGGATGAAATGTGTTAATGAAATACTGAGCTTGGGCGATCCATTGCTTTTATAGTGAGTGGTAAGCAAGCCTCTTTGTCCTGGAGGGAGATATTACTTCACCCCTCAGAGCTGCTATTTGCTAACACAATCCTGAAAAGTGACTTGGGTAAGAAGTCGTGTGTTGGACCTCCCCAGTGGCGCAGGGGTTGAGCGCTGGGCTGCGAAGCTGCCCGCAGCCTCTGCATCGCCAGTTTGATCCCCAGCCGGCGAGGTTCCCACTTGGCGCACAGACCTCTCTCCTGCCGTGCCCGCTGCTCCCCTCAGCAGTGTACTTCGTCAGTCTGCCTGTTCTGTTCCCCGCTCTGGCTCTAGTGAGTTCTCTCACCCTCCTGCGCTTCTGACTGTACCCAGTGTTTGTATAAATTAAATAAATAAATTAAAAAAAAAAAAAAAGAAGTCTTGTGTTTTTTGCATACCCAGCAAGACATACAGGATTGAGAGACCCAAAGAGGAATGGCTCTCCCTACAGTAAGTACATGTAATAGGTAATTGATTGAAATCATAGAAAAGATTATTATGAAATATTTGCCATACAAAGCAGTACATAATGAATAGCCATATAGTCACCTCCCACCTTGAGAAATAAACATTATCTTTTCATTTGAAATTTCCTGTGGATCGCTACCCTTATCCTCAAGTAGACACTTTGCTGAATTTGTTGTGATCATGCCAATACATTCCTGTGCATCCCTTAATATCACACAGTATTGTTTTGTATGTTTATAAATGTCTAAAAAAAGGTTACTACCTCTGAAAAAGTTAAAAGTCATCGTGTCATTTTAGGCACTGTAGGAAGAAATTGAAACAATAAAATTCTTACATGTTATGATGTATAGACCAAGTTGAAACCACACTTAGTAAAAGGAAAAGACATGTGTGCAAAAAAATAGTAAACAACATAAAACTATCATCTAATATATGTAAGAATTAACTAATTAAGGATAGAGAGCAAAATATAATTCATTACTCAAGTGGAAAACAGTGATACAGGAAAGGGGATTATGCTGTGAGGAAATGACTTTAAATTGTTTCAGTCAAGAAGATGGGAGCAGGAAGCTAGGAGGACTAGTTAAGCAGCAGGACAATTTGCTGAGAGGGTTGTAGGCCCATCATTCTGTTGGATTTTGATCAGGAAGAAGTCTAAGCTAAGCCGAAGATATCAAAGGACCCAACAATAATTGAGCAGGGATGGCTACACATGGTAAAATTAGAGAACATTCTAATGCTTTCTAGATTATGACCAAAATGTGTGTTACAGATTCCAGCATGATAGAAGAATTTAAAGTGAGCTGCAGCAGATAGGGAAACAAAATCTCACTGAGAAGTTTGGAGTTAGGCTTTGACTGGCCGTTGGGGATTTGGACCATGCTTCGGGAAAGGGAGTGGGTTGAGAGCACAAGAGCAAGGACTGGAGATAGTGTGTGGAGAAGTCAGAAGACTAACCTGTGCGAATTGTTTGTACCCACGTCACTTGACACGTAGAGTTTCCCTGTGTGGGTTTTGCTGAGTATACACACGGTGGAGTTCAGCAGCTTTCCCCGTCTTCGTTATTATCTGTAAATTAGCAACTGGAACCAGTAGCATGGAGAGATTCAGGTTCAGTCCCTTTGGCAAGACTGTAAATGTGTTGTGTGTTCTTTTATCACATCAGTGCAGGTTTGTATAAGGTCTAGGTTTCATTTTACCCTATTTAACCAGCTCATGATTAGCCTGTTAGTGTTTCATATTCAGACTTCATAGAGCTTCCTTTGTTTTGTTTCAAGTAGTATAGAAATAAATATAGTGGCTTCCTTTCTGAGATATCCTGGTTTGTAAATCACCCCGTCCTCCCCCCCCACCCACTTTTACTTGGGGCCATCTCTTTTCTTCATTTCTGCCGTCGTTATCTTGTTCAATTTGGATTCCCTCCCCAGTAGTGTTTTCTCAGTGTGGTGGCCCTGTCTATGGAAGGAGCCTTGGCTAGTTGCATGAATTTATAAGACTTGACTTCTCCAGCTCATTTGGGCCTCACTGGGGACCCTTTGCAGTAGATCAAATCCCCCCAGTTTCAGTTGTTCTCAAATTGTCCCACCTTGCTTTTCATTTAGCACTTGCTTTTCTTGTGGTGCTTCTGTTCCCTGGTCCATTAGGTGCATTCTTTTTTCCCTCTGGGTTGATCTGCTTATATGGCGCTCATGTTTTAGGACTATTGATGTTTTTTTTTTTTTTTTTTTCCTGCTTTGTATAGGGGGATTTATGAGGATGCTGTATCTCCCAGTTTTGTTTTAAATGTTATCCATATGCTTTTCTGTGTTGCTGTCTAGTTGCTGTATTTATTTTTATGTGGGTGTTCAGGATTATCAAAAGACTGGTCCCACTGCTGTAGCCATTTTCCAGAATCCCCATTGTAGAAAGATGATGCAATCATGCGTAGAATGGTAGATTTCACCTAACATTTTATATAGCATAGTGTGTGGTCTCTTTGTCCTATGTTTGTTCTTTAGCTTTTTTCCTCTCCAAATTTGTGTTACCAGCTACAGTACATATTCAGCAGCTCCCCATGGAAATAAATAGTTTCTATCATCTCTCTTTTTAGGTTCACTAAGAATCTTTCCCCAGATAAAATCAATTTAAGCACCCTGAAAGGGGAAGGTCAGCTGACCAATCTGGAGCTGGATGAAGAGGTTCTACAGAATGTGCTGGAACTGCCCACATGGTTAGCCATCACTAGGGTCTACTGCAACAGGGCTTCCATCCGGGTGAGAATGGGAATCAGAATGTTCTTGCTTTCTGGCCAGCTGGTCTGCCTTCTTGAGGGGTGGCTCCCATAACCTTGCCTCTTTGCTTTCTTATTTTTCTTTTTTCTATTTCAGATCCAATGGACAAAGCTGAAGACACATCCTATTTGCTTGGTAATGGCCTTTCATGATTATAAGTAATCAGATAGACTTGTGGTAGAGTTTTAAAAGATCTGAGAGAAGATAGAGTCCTGTTCCTTTTAGGAGTTGAGGAAGCTTCTCTCTGGCCTGTGAGCTTCTCCCTGAGACAGTGACTATTATACCTAGAACTATTACCTGAACTATTATTCTAGAAATATTGTGCAGTATACAATTAATACTGAGACCCAAGATCCAGGAGTTCTGAGTTGTTTTGTTTGTTTTTCATAACAAGTTTTACTGCCCTTTATCCCTTGGAATAAAGATTTCCCCTTTATCCCTTGGAATCCTGACATAGAAAAATTAGAAGTTTAGTTCATGTTGACTTTTAGGTGCTTATCATATGAAAGTCTTTCACAAATTGGTTGATGCATGAGATACTGAAATCCTTAGGAATAGTACTAGCTCTCTAACTTGCATTTATGTTTTAGTTTTCTGTTGTCAGCTAATCCTATCCTCGTCAGGGAGTTCTTCTGATACTTACTTAGCTTTTCATGGCTTTTTTTTCAGTGTCTGGATAAGGTGGAGGTGGAGATGAAGACATGTGAGGAGCCTCGACCCCCAAATGGACAGTCTCCTATTGCTCTCGCTTCAGGACAGAGGTTAGTTGCTTTTGGTTCCTATAATTTCCAATTATTAACTGATCCAGGTCACCTTTTAGTTAAAAAATAAAACTTTTTTTCTTATGTATGTATACACACACACACATATATATTACATCATTGTTCATTTTTGTACAATCTATACTTTCTCCTCTCAGGTGTGTCCCCAAAAAATTCCCACCACCGGTTCACCTGTGAGCCATCACTATTGTCCCTTGTGCGCTTCCCTCCCGTGTTTTGATCACTCTGCCTCCCCATCCCTTGCAGAATGTCTCTGATTTATAGTTGCTTGCTAATTTTGTTTATTTATTATTATTGTTATTTTTTTTTCCTGATCCCTTGTTTGGTTTCCCTATATTCCTCCTATAAATGAAACCATCCAATATTTTTCTTTTGCTTTCTGGCTTATTTCACTGAACATAATCCATTCCAGCTCCATCATGTTGTTGTGAATGGCTTGAGCTTATCTTTTTCGATTGCTGAATACTATTCTATTGTGTATATATACCACATCTTCTTGATTTAGTCATCTATTTTTGGGCATTTGGGTTATTTCCATATCTTACCTATTGTAAATAATGCAAGAAGCATAGGGGTACAGGTGTCCTTTTGAGTTAATGTTTTTGTGTTCTTTGGGTAGATTCCTAGGAGTGGCATTGCTGAGTCATAGGGTAGATCTACTTTTAGTAATCTGAGGAATCTCCAGACAGCTTTCCATAGTAGTTGGACCAGTTTACATTCCCACCAGCCAACATTTATTGTAGCTGTTTTTTTTTTTTTAATATCTGCCCTTCTCACTGGTGTAAGGTGGTATCTCATTATGGTTTTGATTTGTACGTCCCTGCTTATAAGTGATGTTGAAATTTTTTCATATACCTTTTGGCCATTTGCATTTCCTCTTTGGAGAAGTGTCTTTTTAGCTCTTCTGCCCATTTTTTGACTGGACTGTTTGCTTTGCTTTTGTTTAGTTGTGTAAGCTCTTTGTATATCTTTGTGATCAGTCCCTATTCAGTTGTATTAAAAAGTAAAACTTTTTTTTTAATCCAGTAACTTGATGGATATTTTATTTTCAGTTTTGGCTATTGTGAATAATACTGTTATGAATATTTATATACATGCATTTTTATTTCTTTTGAGTATAAAAAGTAATATGAAGACATGTGAGGAGCCTCAGTAATATGGTAGGTGAGGATTTCAGCTTTTAAGAGACTTTTCCAGAGTGACTTACTGTTTTGCATTCTTTTTACATTTAATGTACTTTTACATTTCACATTTTTTATACCCTTCATTTGTATTTACTTTTAAAGTGTTTGTTGTACATTGAACTTTATTGTCTTTTTGCTATTCAGATGTCCTCATTTTTGGCCAAAGCCTTTCAAACTCAACTTTTTTTTTTTTAATATTTGTTTATTTATGCATACAAGAGCTGGGGTACAGGCCATAGGTGTGGGGGGTGAGAGGATTTACCAGAGACAGAGTGGGGAACAGAACAGGCAGACTGAAGAAATACACTGCTGAGGGGAGCAGCGGGCGGCAGGAGAGGTCTGCTGCGCCATGTGGGTTTCTCCCTGTTCGTCCGAACTCATGCTGCAGAGGCTGCAGATTGTTTCATAGCTTATGTCTTAACCCCTGCGCCACCATGGAGGCCCCCAAACTCAACTTTTGTGTCCTTAGGACAAAACCCTAGTAATCTTCATCCTTTTAGACAGATGAAGATGTTGCTGATTTCTTTGTGCCTCCTTATCCCAGATCTGGAATCAGCATTTCTCCAGGGAACCCATGTCTCTTTTAGTGAGCAATGCCATTTGTAGTGTATAGACTGAGCAAAATTGTATTCATCGAACTGTTACTGCTTAAGGCCTTTTCAGTATTCAGTTCTAGAGAAAAGGTATTTTTTTTTTTTTACAAAGTCATTTTTTTAAAAGATTTATTTATTTATGCATTCAAGAACTGGGGTACAGGCCAGAGGTGCGGGGGATGAGAGTATTCACTAGATATAGAGCGGGGAACAGAACAGGCAAACTGACTGAAATAGACTGCTGAGGGGAGCAACAGGTGAGACAGGAGAGGTCTGCTGTGCCATGTGGCTAGTTCCCTGTCTGGCCAGGGATTGAACTTGGGCTGCAAAGGCTGCCCATAGCTTCACAGTGCTGTGCTTAAACCCTTGTGCTACCAGGGAGGCCCAAGAAAAGGTATTTTTAAGAAAGAAAAATAAAATAAATTATGATACCACCTTGATATTTTTATTTTTATTTATTTATTTTAAAAGATTTATTATTTATTTATTTATTTATGCAAGCACTGGGTACAGTCAGAAGTGCGGGAGGATGAGAGAATTCACCAGAGCCAGAGCAGGGAGCAGAACAGGCAGAAGGACCGAAGTACACTGCTGAGGGGAGCAGCGGGCGGCAGGAAAGGTCTGCGCACCATGTGGGACCCACCTCCGGTGGCCGGGGAGCAGCTGGGGATCGAACCGGCACTGCAGAGGTGGCGGGCAGCCTCGCAACCTAGCACTCAAGCGCTGCGCCACCAGGGAGGCCCACACCTTGATATTTTTAAATTAGAAAGAGATTTGTGTTAACTTTTGATTTAAGATTTATATTTTTATTGATATTCTTATTCTTGGTTCTGAACAATAATAATATAACAAATGATTTACTTTTTGATATTTTCAAGAAATAAAACCAATTTTATAGCTGTTGCTAAGACTGCTGCAAGAAGTAGATTAATGTGTATGTGTGCTTTATCCTTATGATATATACCATTAAGAATATATGTTCAAAATCCTGTGTTTAAAGTCACTTGGAGAAAAAAAGGTGTGAAAAATAATTTGTCACTTGAAGTCATTCTTTATATAGCTGGATATCAATTTGACATAGAGAAGTTTTAGGGTTTTTTAAATTTAAAAAAAATTTTTTTTTTAAACATTTTTTTATAGAGGCATGTTTATTTATTTATTTATTTATTTATTTAGTTTTGTTTGTTTGTTATACATGCACTGGATACAGTCAGAAGTGCGGGAGGGTGAGAGAATTCACCAGAGCCAGAGCGGGGAGCAGAGCAGGCAGAAGGACCGAAGTACACTGCTGAGGGGAGCAGCGGGCGGCAGGAGAGGTCTGCGCGCCATGTGGGACCCTCCTCTGGTGGCCGGGGAGCAGCCGGGGATTGAACCGGCGTCGCAGAGGCCGCGGGCAGCCTCGCAACCCAGCGCCCAACTGCTGCGCCACCGGGGAGGCCCTTTAAAAATTTTTTAAAGATTTATTTATGCATACAAGAGCTGGGGTATAGGCCTGAGGTGTAGTGGGTGAGAGAATTCACCAGAGACAGAGTGGGGAACAGAACAGATGCATTGAGTGAAATAAAAATACACTGCTGAGGGGAGCATTGGGTGGGGCAGGAGAGGTCTGCTGTGCCATGTGGGTCACCTCCCTGGTCAGGGATTGAACTCATGCTGCAGTGGCTGCAGGTAGCTTCATAGTGCTGCATCCTAACCCCTTGTACCACCAGGGAGGTCCAAAGTTTCATTTTTTAATGTAATTTTTTACAAGTCATTTTTGTTTCATAATAATATTGAGAGGAATGTACAGAGATTTCCCATATACCACATGCTCTCACACATGCATAGCCTCCCTGTTATAAAGGTCGCCTACCAGAATAGTACATTTGTTACAGTAGATGAACCTACACTGACAAGTCATAATCACCCAAAGCCCATAGTTTACACTAGGGTTGTCTCTTGGTGCTGCATCTCATAGATTTAGACAAATGTATCATGACATATTTCCATCTTATTGTGTCATATAGTATATTTTCACCTCCTAAAGCTCTTCCTATTCACACCTCTTCTTATCTCCCACCTCCAATCCTGGCAACTCCTGGCAACCCCTGGTCTTTTATCTGTCTCTATAGTTTTTCTAGAATGTCATATATTTGGGATCATACACTATTTCATCTTTTCAGATTGGCTTCTTTCACTTGATAATATGCATTTAAGTTCTTCCGTATCTTTTCACGATGTTATAGCTCTTTTTTTTTCCTTTTTAAGCACTGAATAATACTTGATTGAGCGTATCACAAATTCATTTATTTATTTTAAAATATTTATTATACAAGCTGGGGTATAGGCCAGAAGTGCGGGAGAGTGAGAGGATTCACAAGAGGCAGAGCAGTGAGGAGATGACAGAAATACACTGCTGAGGGGAGCAGCGGGCACCACAGGGAGGTCTGCCATGCCTACCCAGTCTTCTACTGAAGGACATCTTGGTTGCTTTCAAATTTTGAATTATTAATTACCTGCTATAAATGCCCATGTCAGCCTGTGTGGTCATTAAGTTTTCAATCTTTGAGTAAATATGAAGGTGCATAATTACTGGATCATAGATGTGTTTAGTTTTGGAAGAAACCATCAAACTATCTACTGGAGTGGTTGTACCATTTTTCATTCTTCAAGCATTTGAATGAGAGGTCTTTCTGCTCCATATCTTTGCCAGTTTGTGGAGGTGTCAGTGTTTGATTTTTGCCATTCTGATATGTGTAGTGAATCTTATTGCTGTTTTAATTTGCATTCCCTGGTCACACATGATAGGGAGTGTTTTTTCACATGTCTCTTCATCTCTGTAATTTCTTTGGTGAGATAGTAATTGTCTTTGGCCCATTTTTAAAATGGGGATGTTTGTTATTGTTTTTTTAAGAGGGTTTTTTGGGGGGATTTATTTTGGATAATTGTCCTTTACCAGCTATATCTATTGCAAATATTTCCCCCCGATCTGTGAGTTATCTTCTCATCTCTTGACTTTGTCTTCACAGGGCAGAAAATTTAATTTTCAGTAAGTTAACTTATCCATTATTTCTCTCATGAATGTGCCTTTGGTGTTATATCTAATAAGCCATTGCTATACAAGGTCATAGATTTTTCTCCTATGTTATATTCTAGAGTTTATATCAATGTGTTTTAAATTTTCAAATTAGTTTTATTTGTAACTATATAAAATTACATAAAAACTATAAAACTTACTATAAAACAAGGTATTATGTTAATATAGTATTTATGTTGTCTTCATCTCCTTTCTTATATAAATACAGCAT